CCCACACGGGAGGGCCACATTTTGGACATTATACATCTGAAAGAAAACCAGTAGGCCATCATTTACACTGAGAAGATAATAGTTTATAAAGAACCACCACAAGCTTAAAATATTTTTAGCTACACCCCAACTATTGTTGGAAACAGTGCCCAACAAGACATTTTCAATTTCATATCTTGACTGAGGGCCACAGGTTGGGCACAACAGATGTGGGGGTATGTGTAGGAAAGGATACCAGTTTCACTGACTCAACAGAAGTCCTGCACCACTTTATTTCAGTTAGCATCAGGGTTTCATTCTGAGACAACACACCGCTATTACAGATGGTTCTTAAACTCTTGGTTAATAGACTGGCCTGGAGATACAAGATGCAGTTCCATTATTGAAACTACACAGGTTTGGTCCAGGCAAAGCCTGGATGGCATTTATCCAGGAGTTCCATATACCCCAAACCTCAGACATAGGATGACATAGGAGGACAAAGTGTAAGTGATCATAAGCAAGAAAGCTCCAGTCCACTGACTCTGCTATTTCCAAGCACAACATCATCAACCTTAGCAGCAAATGCAAAGACCTGTACTTTTCTCAGGGCAAACTGACAAAACCCACGTGACATACTGAAGACGCCAGGAACAAACCCCACTTACACGTTAGCGTGCCAGCTGCCTTTTATTATTGGTGGTCTTCAAAGCAACTCTGTGAGGCAATGGACTATTATTCCGATTGTTTTGATGGGGATGAAGGGAGGCCAGCGAACCTGAGAGAAACAGAATCTTGTCCAACTCCAGAGGAAGTCTGGAAGGAAGCTTAAAGACTCAGCTCACAGGACTTGGGCCGAGGTAGCGGCAAAGAGACTGGCGCGCAGTGACTCCGCATTTCTTAAGCGGCGGGCGTTAAAGAAAGAGAGGGACGGGCAGAGACCGAGAGGAAAGACTTGGGCAGAGCCACCCACACGTCATGCTCAGAGATAGCCGGGTACAAAGGAACAGGGGCACAGCCCTCTTCCCACTGAGGATGGGCAGGGTATGGGGGTGTCACAGTCGAGCGTCGCTCTTCTAGCCGCATGCGTGCCGCCTCACCAGGTAGCACTCCGAAGGTTAGTTGTGAGAATTAACAGCCAGGTGAGAGCGCGCCCCTTAAAGGGAAGGGGAAAGGGTCGGTCGGGGCCCTTGCTTTTGCGCGACCCTAGCGCCGCTCGCTCACTCCATCCCGGCCTGAGCGCGTGGCTTGCCCCTGCGCGAGCCGGTTTCGAGGAAACCTTAGGGCGCTCCTTTCGGTGAAGAGCCTGTGTGACCACACAACTGTTTATCACGTCACTATTGAGCCCCCGTTATGCTTTCCGCGGGATCTGTCCTCCCGCGGCCACCATCCACACGCTTTCTTTCCGCCCTCGCCTTACCCTGCTGGAGAATCGCCTTCCCATCGGCGCATACAGATGATGATGATGCAACCGCGCTGTTTTTCCCCCTTAGCACCGCCCCTTTCTGACTATCGCTTGGTTCATAAACCCCGCAACGCCAGAGGTCGGGGTTGAAGTACAAGTGCCCCGTCTTTGTGTAGTATATTGAGGGCGTGTGGTTAATGGTTAAGGACCAATCAGTAATAGCAAAACACGGGTCAGAGGAAGGAAGCACCGTTTTGCTTGGGAAGTAATACAGAAAAGTGCCTGCATCTGTGAAAATTCGTGAAATGGCTACCAGTGCTTGTGGTTTATTTTAGTTACTACTTAAAATGTTTATTTATTTAGGAAGAATAAGACTGCCTCTCTAGGTAACCTACCCAAGGCATTTAGGGCTTTAAAGGTAAAAACCAACACTTAGGGATGTGCCTGGAAAGAAGTGAGCATCCAGTGCAGATCCTGCAGCACCTTTAAGAATCCCTGTAACCAACCACTGACAATAACCTGGGTGCTGCATTTTGGGCCCACTGAAGTTTCTGACTGGTTTCCAGAGGCAGCCCCATGTAGACTGTATTACAGTATTCTATCTTGGATGTATTCAGAGCATGGGTCACTGTGGCTAGATCACACTTTTTGAGGAATGGTGATCGCTGGGGAACCAGCCAGAGCTGATAGAAGAGGAGGAGGAGGAGATTGGATTTATATTATACCCCACCCTTCACTTGGAGTCTCAGAGCAGTTTACAATCTCTTTCCC